GGGCAACTCCTGCCCTGTCGCGCGGGAAGCAGCGCGAGCAAGCGCTGCCCCCTTCCGGCGACGCGCTCGCACATGGTATGACATTCCATGTATTGGCATCACAATGGACTCACTGACTCACCATTCACAGCCTTTCAACAGGGTACGAGCCTACAGGACCGCGTGGTCCCATGCGCGCCCCGGACTGAGGATGTCGAGGCTCAGGTGTGCTCGCCGCCGCTATCCGGCTGCTATTCATTCCCCCTGAGCAAGCCGCCGCGGACGCCCATCCCTTCGCAGTTGACCTCGGGTCAAGGGCGAAGCCCATCCTCAAGGAGCTTAACCCGGACGACTCAGAACTTATGTACCTTTTGCAGGTCTTCGCGGGTGCAGCTTCGCGGAAGGAGTTCGCTTACGACGCGTCCAAGCACCCTCGCTGGGATGGCGCGAGTCTAGAGCGTCTATATGATGCTATCTTGTATCCTTTCGATAACGATGAGTAACAATGGATGAATGGTTTTACTCATATCATCACGTGCTCTAGTCAACAACGTTCCGTGGTGTTTTTTTTGCCCTGCTGACAGTCTCTCCCAGCTCCCAGATCCCCCACTCCCACACCTCGCTTCTTTTCCCGCCCTCCCTCCGCTTCTCATCGCGCGCTCCTGTCATGGCACGCGCCCGAGCAGACGCCCCCGCGCTCAACGGCCATGATGGTATCAAGAAGTTACCTCAATCCACGCGCAAGGTGGGTAAAAGAAGCGTCAAGATACCGTGGGCCTCGCGTCGACCACGCGCGAAGCTGTCTTATGCGGAGAAGAAGGCACTGCGTGAGAAGTCGAAGGTCTACAAGCAGACGCTCAACAACAGGCTCGACGCCATCCGGGATGAGGTATGGGACCACGCTGTATCGCTCCACGAAGACCTGGGCAAGCACAGCGCGGCGTGGTACTACCGCCTCATCCTCCACCAGAGCAACATCCGTTTCAAGGAGCCACGCGCCCTCTCACTGTGGAATGCGTTCGTCAGCCAAGAGCTTTGCGCCCACAACCAAGGTATGCCGTATCTCGCACACACGCTGCCATAACTAACGCCGATCTATCAGACCTGAACACCAATGACCGTGTGTCGTCTGGGTTCATCAAGACCCTCGCCGAGCGCTGGGCTGCGATGTCCAATGAAGAGCGCGAAGATGTCTCTCGCGACAAGGTCGAGGAACTGAACGAGCGGCGCGAGGAGCGGGGGCGTCCAGTGCCTAACCTCGCCGTCGCAAATTTCAACGATACTCGCGCCACACTCCAGGATGTCGCCAAAGAGGTGCGACGCCCCATTTACCCCCATCTGCCTCCTGCTGACATCTACCTGTGCCGCAGCTCAATGATCTCCACGAGCGCACCGGCGTGGAGGTCTTGCTCTTCGCGTGCCGCGGCGACCAGGCCAATCACCTCAAGCCTTGGGTGTACCGGACCAGCGAGCGACTTGAGGAATTCGTGGAGCTGTTCAGTGGCGCGACGTTGGGCAAGCTCGCTGCGCGCATCGAAGCATGGTGTCTCACTGGTATCAAAGGTACGCACACGCATATTTATAGTCGCCTTCTCCCACATTCATAGCGTGGTCGCACAGGCTTGACAAAGAAACACAAGAACACGGTCTTGGAGCTTAAGTCGAAGGTCGGTACTCTCATACTCGAGAAGCTCCGTAAGTCCATGCTCCCTCATTTAGTCTACATGCTCACAGCTATCCTCCAGACGCGACGTCGACGCGGGGTAAGCCCTCGGCGATGTCTTACCTCGACTTTGCAAACAGGATCACGCTCAAATATGGCGTCGTCCTTGAGAACTGGCCCGTCGAAGTGTTCCAAGCCCCTGGCCGGTTCAACTCCCTCAAGTACCTCAACACGCTCTATTCAGCCTGGGAGGGGGGACGACGGCGTTCCGACTCCTCACCGACGAGGAGTTCACGGCCTGGCGTGAGGCTTACGACGCGCACCTCAGCCCAATGGCTGTTACATTCAGTGAGCAAGTCATCACACCCACCTCCGCGCCGGCATCCTCCCCCACTCCCGTGCGCCACACCTCACCTGCGCTCCCTGGTACGCCCGCGCCCGCGTCCTACGCCCCGCCCGAGCTCTCTGGTACACCTGCGCCCGCGTCCTACGCCCCGCCCGCGCCCCTGGCCTGCCCGCGCCCGCGTCCTACGCCCCGCCCGAGCTCTCTGGTACACCTGCGCCCGCGTCCTACGCCCCGCCCGCGCCCCCTGGCCTGCCCGCGCCCGCGTCCTACGCCCCGCCCGCTCCCCCTGGCCCGCCCACGCCTGCATCCCATGCCCCGCCCGAGCCCCCTGGTACGCCCGCGCCCGCGTCTTACCCCCACCCGCGCCCACATCCTCCGCATCGCCCACGCTCCCTGGCCCGCCCGCATCCGCGTCCCACACCCCACCTGAGCTCCTCGGTATCCCCACGCCCACGTCCTCTGCCCCGCCTGTGCTCCCTGGTCCGCCCGGCGCGCTGTCTGGTCCACCCGCACCCGCATTCACCTTCGTGTTCAATGCCACGCCCGGGTCTTATGCACCTGCTTCGTCCGGCTCAGAGCGTCCTCTCGGTGCCGCCCCCGACCCCTTCTTCAACCACTTTGCGGGCGCGGCGCCGTCATCCCGCAGAAGCCGCCCCGCAAGCCTCGCAAAGACAAGGGCGTGCCACGCGGTCCTACCGCTAAGACCCTCGCGCGCAGGGCTGCTGAACGTGCTGTGGGGCCCAACAACGAGAACAATGAACTTTGAACAATACCTACTTCTTTTTATTACTGGCTCCTCTATAGTATAGTACATAACACGCTCATGTTTTATGTGTCTTAGCTGCTGTCGCTCGGAGTTGAGCCCTTAGTAATACATCTATGTCATTCTTGCCAAGGACTGATAGCGCGTGCTTCAATCATTATACCTGGATGAGTGATGGCTTCAGCCACTTTGATGGTGGAACAGAGGAAGAAGCATCTCTACCCCAATCACTGTTCTGTGGTGTGATACAATACTATTGTCTGTAGGTGCACAGAGAGTTTCAGGAGAGAGGGAGGGGGGGAGATGTTTTGTAAGCTGGTTGTTATGCATCTAATCACTTTGGCGCTCCACAGCCATCACTACGAGGCGTTGAGTCTGCAGCGCCCGGTGCCCGGCGCCGGCGCCCTCGCGCTGATGGCGCGGCGCCCACGCAGCGCATCAATCATTCCCGCGGTTCCTGTCCATGCGGCGCCCGCACCATCAGAGTCCCGCCTCCCGCCAAGGCGTTCAGTATGCTGACATAATGTCCCGCCCTCCCCATATGCGGGAGCGGCGGGCGGTGGCGGGCGGTGGCGGGCGGTGAGGGCATCACAGAGAGCGTGTCTAGCTAGTGATTTGTGTAAATAGATGCGCATTCTTAATACAAGTACATACAAAAAACAACGGAGCGAATCGGACAAGGGGAGGGGGAGGGGCAAGGGAAACAACGAGCTCGCCGTCCCCGACGGCGAGCACGGGGGCGCGGGCGGCCATCACGGACGGGCGGCGCGAGGGGAGACGCCAGTGGGGGCGGCCATCAGGGAGCGCGGCACGGGAAGCCGCTCACGTGGTCCGGGAGAGCGCAGGGGAGGCTGGGCCGGGCCCTCGGGGACGTCGGGGACAGGGGCAGGGGACTTGCGCATAAGCCCCCGTTTTACCGTTTCCTCTCAGGGAATATCAAGCGTTATTCGTAGAGGGTCTACTAGTGGCAGGGGAATAGGCATTCGCAGTCGCCGGAACTAGTATCAGCCCAGGGGGGTGATGGCAGATCAATTGATTGCAATAACGTGAGGTACGGGTGGCCCAGCGCTCGGCGAGGGTCTTGATGAACCCAGACGACACACGGTCATTGGTGTTCAGGTCTGATAGATCGGCGTTAGTTATGGCAGCGTGTGTGCGAGATACGGCATACCTTGGTTGTGGGCGCAAAGCTCTTGGCTGACGAACGCATTCCACAGTGAGAGGGCGCGTGGCTCCTTGAAACGGATGTTGCTCTGGTGGAGGATGAGGCGGTAGTACCACGCCGCGCTGTGCTTGCCCAGGTCTTCGTGGAGCGATACAGCGTGGTCCCATACCTCATCCCGGATGGCGTCGAGCCTGTTGTTGAGCGTCTGCTTGTAGACCTTCGACTTCTCACGCAGTGCCTTCTTCTCCGCATAAGACAGCTTCGCGCGTGGTCGACGCGAGGCCCACGGTATCTTGACGCTTCTTTTACCCACCTTGCGCGTGGATTGAGGTAACTTCTTGATACCATCATGGCCGTTGAGCGCGGGGGCGTCTGCTCGGGCGCGTGCCATGACAGGAGCGCGCGATGAGAAGCGGAGGGAGGGCGGGAAAAGAAGCGAGGTGTGGGAGTGGGGGATCTGGGAGCTGGGAGAGACTGTCAGCAGGGCAAAAAAAACACCACGGAACGTTGTTGACTAGAGCACGTGATGATATGAGTAAAACCATTCATCCCATTGTTACTCATCGTTATCGAAAGGATACAAGATAGCATCATATAGACGCTCTAGACTCGCGCCATCCCAGCGAGGGTGCTTGGACGCGTCGTAAGCGAACTCCTTCCGCGAAGCTGCACCCGCGAAGACCTGCAAAAGGTACATAAGTTCTGAGTCGTCCGGGTTAAGCTCCTTGAGGATGGGCTTCGCCCTTGACCCGAGGTCAACTGCGAAGGGATGGGCGTCCGCGGCGGCTTGCTCAGGGGGAATGAATAGCAGCCGGATAGCGGCGGCGAGCACACCTGAGCCCTCGACATCCTCAGTCCGGGGCGCGCATGGGACCACGCGGTCCTGTAGGCTCGTACCCTGTTGAAAGGCTGTGAATGGTGAGTCAGTGAGTCCATTGTGATGCCAATACATGGAATGTCATACCATGTGCGAGCGCGTCGCCGGAAGGGGGCAGCGCTTGCTCGCGCTGCTTCCCGCGCGACAGGGCAGGAGTTGCCCACTGGACGGAACTTCTGCTCGGGGTCGCCGGAGTGCTGTGGGGAGGCGCGCGGCGTACGGGAGTACAGAGCAGAGCGGGAGCTGGGACGAGGCGGAGCGGGGCTGGGATGATGGGCAAGTCGAGGTCGATGTCGAGGGGGAAGTTGTGCCCGGTTTTCATAACCATATACGCGATGGCGCTGGCCACGGACAGACCCTTCTTGTCGAATCGCTTGTACCGGCATGAGTATTGCTTGATGTGCCGTTCGCCCTCTCCGATTTGAAAGCCGATGTGAGCCCTGAGGATTCTGTCAATACAATCCATGGGACATGCGATAGCGACTTACCAAGTGACCCCAATGAAAACACCGGTATGTCTGCCTTCTAGCGCGGCACGGACACTGTAGATCCGCTCGCCGCGCAGCGATATGTTGGCTTCTTGTACACGCCACACGGCAAGATGGACGTCATGAGCCGCGGTTTGATAAAAGACCGTCGCGTTGAGAGCGTCGATGGCCTCCGCGTCGTCGCGGTGCATGCAGCACACTACGATCGGGTAGATGGCGGGATCTTGCCCTAAGCCCACCTGTGGCCTGTACGATGTTGGTGAGCATATGACGGGTGTGAGAGAGCAGTGAGAATCTACCGAGTGCGCGTGATGCGCGGCGACACTCTGCGTGTGTCCGGCCCCAGAAGCACGTACCAAGGACCGGAAGACGCCGCCGGGTCAGATAGCAGCGGGTTATGCATGCTTCGGGGCGGGAGAGCGGACGGGGAGGGGTGATCGATGCGGAGAAGGAGGAGCTACGCGGAGAGGCGCCCATGCTTCTCACCTGTCATCTCACGCGAATCCTGATCTTCGGATGCTTTACAGGTCCTCCCTGGCATCCGGTGAGAAATCTGCCAACACGCATGTATTTGTCATGCATCTCGGCACACAGGCCGGGTATTTGATGCCCCTGATTATGCTTGCAATAGTATAGCATACTGCGAGGCATGATTGCATGCAAAGCCTCACGGTTTCCTTGCTTCGGGTGTGCACCAAACGTCCTTACGATGTCCTGGGACTGGTATAGTAACATTGACATTGAAATAACACATGGAACGTCCTATATACACATTATACGTTGTATACCATTCATTTGGACGTGTCAAAATACCGTACATAGGTGTGGAATTATGTTTTTGTCTTGGAAACAGCTCGTTCAAACGGGCGCTAGAAGCCCCCAGAGCCGATCTACGCTACTGAGCTACGAAGTCGAGCAGAGCGCTCTGCTGCGCCTGCATATCGTCATCGTACATACTCTCCGGGCTCACATCTGTCTCGATCGCGCTGTCATCGGGGGAAATGCGTGGAATGGATGGCTCCGGAGGGGGAGCTCTGCCCTCACGGCGGCCCGGCGTCTTCTCGCCCTCGAAGCGAGGATCATTATGCAATTCATTGAGGAATGCCAGGTTGTACCCATTGGCGGCCTCGCGGTGGCGAACGAACTCCATAGTCGGCCCATAAAGGATGTCGTTGGTCTCTTTGAGCTGCTCAAGAAGCGTGGCGAAGTCTTGCTCTTCGTCGCGAATGTGCGTGTGGAGGCGGCGCGCATCGCGATAGATGATCTGGATCTCCTCTCGGGCGCGTTGCAAGCGCCGCCAGGTCCCGATCGCCTCCCGGACTTCCGGACGCGCCCAGACTTTGCCGCTGACGTCATTCCATGATCCGTGCAGAAGTGCAAACTCCCGAATGAACGAGTAATGCGAGATCTGAGTCCAGTCAACGAGTGGCTTCTGCACCGTGACGGCGGCCCTGTTGTACGTCGCGATAGCACGTCGGATTGCAGCTGACCGTTTCTGCATGTTCTTCGCGATGTGAGTCCGCATCTTGTAGCCTTAGTCATGCGCTTTTGTCAGCGCTTGGTCAAATGATTACATGATAACCCACCTGTCTGCGCGAGATGAAGCTTATGTAGCTCGAACAAGCGTTGAATCACAAGGCGTTGAAGCCTTCCCAGGGCCTGCTGATAGCGTCGTGTTGACATGTACACCTTCGCCGTGGTGTAGCGCGGATCGGTGGGCAGCCATCGCGTCATGCCCCAGGTGTCCTCGATCTCGGCTAATTCTTGATCGAGGGCGTCGATCCGCTCGCGGAGCACGCGGTTCGCGCTCTCCGTTCTCCGCGTCTCTCTTACGTGGGCGTTATAGTCTGTGATCGGACCAGTGTACGGTGCCTGGAACAAAAGCCCGGGGCCGTCGGAAGATGCAGAGCCGCCGGTACCCGCGCGCGCGTTCCCAGGGGGCGCGAGTGGCGGAGCTTCGCGCGGCGGCTGCTGCCCGAGCATGAACTCGCGCGTCGCAGGGTTGCGCGTCGCGCGCTTTGTGGCCGCGCGAGTCTTCTGAGCATATTCATCCCTGCGCGCGCGTCAGAAGCAACCCGCGCCCTAACAAAACGTGACTCACTTCATCGCTCTAAGGTCCTCGAGGCGCTCAACATAGCTTTGTGCCCATTCGTCTTCCGGATTCTCATCGCGAAGCGTCGCGAAGTAGACGCGCTCGTCTTCCGCCGCCTCGATCAACTTCTCCTCGGTGAGATTGAGCTGGGGCAGAATGCTGGCCAAGAATGGCTCCGATTCTTCAATGATCTTCATTGCTTGGAGGAAGTTGTTGCGGAGGAATACCGCGAGATTAGTATACTTTTCTTCATCCCAGCGGCGGAAATAGAGCACAATCATTGCGTGCCGCCGATACTTGCTCGCGTAGCGGGTGATCGAGGCAAGCGCGTTTGATCCGCTGAAGATCCGCTCCATGGTTTCGAGATCCTCAATCCCGGCGCCGGCGGTAACATTCGGATGATGGTGGAGCTGGCAGACATAGGAGTGGGAATAACCGTGGAAGCGTTCACAATGCACTGAGAGCCGCGCTTCTGGAACTCGGACCAGCGCTGCTCCGGGCGAGGGTCCCCTGAAAGACGCAGCCAATGTCATAGCCGAGAAGGATGTTGCTGGGCAACTCAGTGTTTATTTTGTCGACCATCGCGATCCCGTACTTGGCGCTAAAGGTGATCGCTAAGTTTCCGAGCTCCACGGAGCCATCAAGACTTACAGTTCACCGCTCTGGATCATATCTGCAATCCAGAGGATCCTCCCATGCCTGCAGGCACTAGCAAAGATGCCAGTCTCGTCGAACCCACCCCATGCCTTCTTCTTTTCGTCCGCCGCTGCCGCCTTCCAGTTCGTAGCACACGGGCTCGGGGCACCCGGCTCCCCATCTGTGGGATCGCCTTCCGTCGCCACTGGCTCGCGGGCCGGCGCGGATTCGGCCGGGTCGTGGGTGATGTCGTCATCACCATCTTCTCCGAGATCCGCGGTCGGCTTCGGCTGTGCCTGCCGCGCAGGCACCTGATGCGCAAACTTGTCGACATATTGTGGGCTGAGAAAGTAGTTGTTCTTGTGTTGTCGCAGGTCTCCTCGGTCTTGATATTTGCGCATAAGTCTTTTTCAAGGAGTTATTGCCGTCCTTACTGCCCATCCGGTTGTAGTGGAGGACCGGCTCTCCTTCCAGCTGCGTGAGAAGTCGTTAGCAGTCCGTCTGACGTCACCACGTGCCACCCGCATCAAATGGAGGATGCGTGCCTTGTATCCGCATGGTGGGCACCCGAAGCGCGGGCGCCAGTTCGGATCACCCCGTCCCAGCTTCTCCATGATCCCTAGCTCCACTTCATCGAGAACCTCCAGGTATATGTCAAACGCGTCCGCTAGCGCAGTGCGATAGTGGCGACGATATGCCATCTGTTCCAGGTATGTCAGACCAACTATTCCGCTGCGCTAGAGGAGCAACTTACATAGTACTTGTAGCAGACAAGCTTGGCAAACGCCTCGGTGCTGAATGATGGCTTTACGAGCTTCAGGCACCGGAACAGCTCGAGCGTCTGAACGAGATCCCCATCGACGGCACCAATCGGGGTGTTAGCGAGATATCCCGCGCAGGCGAGTGCCTCTACTGTCCACTGGTTGGATGACACAACCACGCTGACTTCCTTTTGCAGGGTGTACAAGTCGACACAGACGACTGTTTGTTGTTGCGGCGCCGCCTCTGTCTCAGAGGGAGTATCATCTTCGGTGCTCTCCGCTTGCGTTCCTCTTGCGGGCGGGGATATCCGTACTTCCATTGTAGATATGCGGCCTTGATACGCGGGAATATCTGCTGCCAGTTGTCGTCCATCGTGCGGCGACGATCGCGCCAGGTACGCTCATCCGTGCGCACACTGTTTGGCATGTCAAGGATCTACGACCAGAGGCATAATTAACATGCTCACCCCGATTGCAGATCATTTTCTAGAGCTGCACGGAACGCATCAACGTCCGGATCGTCCGCCCATGCACCATTATCTTCGTCATCATCCGCTGCAGTGGCGCCGGCATTGTCTATGTCTCCGAGATTGATGTCCACACCCTGCGTGTCGTCCATTTGGAACTCGGCGACCGCCGCGGCGCGATCTAAGCCACTGAGATCTATTGCTTGGTGAGTTTCCTAACTCTTGTACCTGCCGTGCGACATACTATTGACTAGGTCAACGCGTCGCCTCCGCGCGGACTCGTCCGCCTTGTCTATATCGGTCGCGCGGACCTTCTCCTCCTTGAAGGTATGCCCGCCATGTCCTTTGTTTTTGCCGCCTCTAGGTCGGTTCCGTGGACCAGCGATGGTGACTCTATCGGACACTCCGTGGCGGTTGCTGGCTTGGGAGAAGGACATGTGTAGAGGTTTGATCTTCACTCCCTCTCTGTGTTTACATTGTTATACTATCTAATCATTATCCATCTAATCACTTTGGCGCTCCACAGCCATCACTACGAGGCGTTGAGTCTGCAGCGCCCGGTGCCCGGCGCCGGCGCCCTCGCGCTGATGGCGCGGCGCCCACGCAGCGCATCAATCATTCCCGCGGTTCCTGTCCATGCGGCGCCCGCACCATCAGAGTCCCGCCTCCCGCCAAGGCGTTCAGTATGCTGACATAATGTCCCGCCCTCCCCATATGCGGGAGCGGCGGGCGGTGGCGGGCGGTGGCGGGCGGTGAGGGCATCACAGAGAGCGTGTCTAGCTAGTGATTTGTGTAAATAGATGCGCATTCTTAATACAAGTACATACAAAAAACAACGGAGCGAATCGGACAAGGGGAGGGGGAGGGGCAAGGGAAACAACGAGCTCGCCGTCCCCGACGGCGAGCACGGGGGCGCGGGCGGCCATCACGGACGGGCGGCGCGAGGGAGACGCCAGTGGGGCGGCCATCAGGGAGCGCGGCACGGGAAGCCGCTCACGTGGTCCGGGAGAGCGCAGGGGAGGCTGGGCCGGGCCCTCGGGGACGTCGGGGACAGGGGCAGGGGACTTGCGCATAAGCCCCCGTTTTACCGTTTCCTCTCAGGGAATATCAAGCGTTATTCGTAGAGGGTCTACTAGTGGCAGGGGAATAGGCATTCGCAGTCGCCGGAACTAGTATCAGCCCAGGGGGGTGATGGCAGATCAATTGATTGCAATAACGTGAGGTACGGGTGGTCTGATCAAGGGTCCTTAGTCCTGCAAGTCCGATCAGGGGTCCATAGTCCGTGCAAAATGTCTGTGTCCAAAGTGGTAGCGATCGTGAAAGTACTCAGATGACTGTATTCGCACGCGGTCAGCATTCACGAGAAGCTGAAGGGGACAGAGCGTGAGCTGACCTCTGGGCCTCTGATCCTGGCGGGACCTCACCCCTTGTACTGCGGCGGCGCCTC